CAAATTGTTGTTCTTTAATCTAGTACAGGTCAATATTAGAGGTCGAGTCCATTTAGTTAAAAATAGGTGAAGGGAGGAATGATAAAGAAATCTCAAAAAAGGTTCTGCACAAACACAGATAATATGCTACTCACGATGTGAGATAAAATTCCCAACCCTTCACAGTTTATGTTCTTTGAATTACTGCTTCAAATATGTTCCATGAACGACAAGGAAGGAATGGGCAGGTGTTTCTAAATATCTCCAACTAGACTAATATCAAATTTTAAACACTGCTTCAGTGAGTATTTGTAGTTTAAACCAATACAAATCATGCTTGGTAGGTTATTTTTAGGGGAGATAAAATAAAAATATAGCACTGTCTCTTCAAAGCTATGCTTCACCAAATCTGTTTCACACATTTTACAAACTTCCTAATAAACTTTCCACTTGCATCCAGAAATATTTAATACCACACAGAACGCTTCAAAAAAAATATACACAAAGGCAAGCATGTGTGAACCCCTCCCTAATGAAGGAAATTTGAATGGAAATTGGACCATTGTTAAGATGCCAGGTCATGGGTGTATGGTGCTTACTGGCGTCATGCAGTCATTATCGCCTTTTGTGGATCAGGGAAAAAGAACTCACTGCAATACCACAGAGGACACCAAATAAGAACCAGTTAAAAACAACACAACTGTCTTAACATTTCTCATTATTAAAGCAAAATGAGATACTGTTAATGAGCAGTGCTCCTTCTCCCTACAATGTTTTTCAACAAGCTGTTTGCTGGAAATAATGTTCAGCAGTCAGCATGGAAAAAGACAGCATTTAAGTCCAAGACTCTATGCATGTAAAACAAGTAGATACCTCAGGTATGGTCACTTAGATAAGAATGCTAAGATGATAAATGCAGTCTGCTGTACTAAAACCTACATGTAACTACATTACTTCTTTCAGGCTGCAGATGCTGGAAGGAAGGCTAGAAAGAGAATGTTAGAGTGAAGACCATGATTTTCTTTTTTATTTCTATTTTATTTTGAAACAGTTTTAGAGTTACAGAAAGTTGCAAAGACAGTACAGAACATTCCCATAAACTCCACTCACTTTATCTCCATTGTTAATATCTTACATTACCATGGTCCAAGTATCACAACTAAGAAACTGAAACTCCAGACTTTATGTAGATTTCTCCAGTTTTTCTGTTTCAGGATCCAATCCAGGGTACCACACTGCATCTAACTGTTATAAAACCATGAATTTTCAATGCTTATATTGTTGTTGTTGTGGGCCATCAAGTTGATTTGACTCATAAAAACCAAAAAAAAAAAAAGGAGCTCTGGTGGCGTAGGACCCTATATGACAGGGTAGAACTGCTTCACAAGGTTTCCTAAGCTGTAATCTTTATGGGGGCAGATGCCAGGTCTTTTCTCTCACAGAGCTGCTGTTGGGTTCAAACAGCTGACCTTTAGATCAGCAGTAGAGTGTTTAACCATTTGTACCACCAGGGTTCCTTTTAATGCTTATTGTTGTTATGTGCCATCGAGTTGGACTTGACTCATAGTGACCCCTTCTTGGGTTTCCGAGGTGGTATCATTACAGAAGTAGATTGCTCAACCTTCCTTCCAAGGAGTGACTGGTGGGTTTGAACCGCCAGCCTTCTGGTTAGCAGTCAAATGCCTTAGGTGGTACACTACCAAAGCTCCTTTTAATGCTTATATACCCCCAAAATCAAACTCATTGCTGTTGGTTCCAACTCATAGTGACTGTAGAACAGAATAGAACTGTTCCATAGGATTTTCACAGCTATAATCTTTATGGGAGCAGACTGACATATCTTTCTCCCATGGGGCAGCTAATGAATTTGAACCACTAACCTTTCAGTTAGCAGCCAAGCGCTTTAACCACTGTACCACCAAGGTTCCTTTTAATGCTCATATACCAAAAACAAAATCACAATCAAACCCACTGCTGTCAATTCCAACGTATAGCAACCCTATAGAATAGAGTTCTATAGAATTTCCAAGGCTAAGGAAGACTGAAAAAGAGTTGATGCTTTTAAGTTGTGGTGTTGGAGAAGAATACTGAACGCACCATGGACTACCAGAAGAACAAACAAATCTGTCATGGAGGAAGTGTAGCCAGAATGCTCCTTGGAAGCGAGAATAACCAGACTTCATGTGTCACCTACTCTGATCATGTT